GTGAACCGTTGCTATAAGGTACCAACGCGCTAGAGAAATCTCGACTCTGGAGAGCGCAAATGGTGCAAGCAATGGAAACGCGAACCAAGCAGTATTATGATGAGCGTAAGCACATGCGAGCTAGTCCGTTCAGGATAGGAGAATGGGTACTAGTGTATATGCCGACAGAGGTCAGAAAGACCGGCACCCCAAGTTCAGCCATAAATTCGTGGGACCATACCGTATCTTGGCGATGACGGACAATAGTGCCACAGTACAGCTGATAGGGGGAAAAGAACAAGCGTTCAAAGTGCAGTTGCACCACCTACGGAAAATTCCCAAGGAAGTGGTAGAAGGGGAATATCTGCTAGGTGCATCACGAATGAGAAGGGCTCATAGACCCTTGAAATTAGGGAAGAGTCCCGAAAAGAAAACGCGAGGAACACAAGTACACAGATATAATTTCAGGCCCAGAGCAGTCATTCAAGTAGTATTCGAAAGGGGACAAGGACCCCGCAGTGCACTGAACGTAGAAGAAACGATGATGGGGAAGAGCCGCAAATGTACGGCAGCAGTGTGTCGCAATGGAATCACACTGGGGAGCGTGGCAAACGCATTTCTACCAGACGCTGTTGCCAAAATTCCGTTTCGAAAAGTGGAGGAGTTGGCAAAAGCGATAACTTTATGGAATTCCGACGAAAAATCGGAGATAAAAGAAACACTTTCGCGGAAGGACCCGTACAACATACCCGTTGCAGCAGGGAAGAAAGGATGGAGGAAAGCCATTGCAGCGTTGACAAAGAGCTGTCCTCATCGGCAGCAGGCAATGAAAGAATCGTTTGGAATGCCCATGTATTCTGGGTACCGAGGTATATTCGCGCAGCGTGATCCGTTTTTTGAAGCAACCGAGAAAGTCCGAGCAGAAGTGAACCGATCCAAAGGCGCGACAAAAGCAAGACTGGCAATATTTGGAGGAGCACGAGCATGCACATTAAGCAAAGTGCTGGTGGAAAGCGAGCGTGTAGCTGTAAAAACAGCAGGGAAGCAACTGCAGTTTAGCAACTGGAGCGAACTGAGAAGCAGCCCTTGGGAAATGAGCCCCTTCACTGGAATTGGAATTTTTCTTTTGGATATGGACGCTAAGGAGAAAGATGTTGAAGAAATAGTAGCCGCGCTACAGAAATGTCCCGATGTGCAGGCAGTGATCATGGCACCACCACTCGCAAAGGGCCACGAACAAGTACTGCAGAAAATGAAAGAATGGTTTATGGCAGTGAAGGGGAAGTATGCGGACCATTCTTGGATCTTTGCGGGTTGGCAAGATGGTCTCGAAGAAACTGATTTGGTATTTGAAACGGAACAACAACTTTTTTGGAGAGACGGCAAATATTGCTCTGACAATGGAAATTGGACTACCATGGGAGCAAGGAGATTTACCGCAGCGCTAAAATATTGTTACCAGATTAAAATATTGTTTCCCAGGACGCAGACGCAACCGTACCAGAAAGGGAGCCGAGAGTTCGAAAGATGCAGAGGAAACGAGGACGAGATGCAGTGACCAAAACAACGCAGCAACGAACTCATCCGCATCTTGCAGGGAACCGCAGAGCTCGCGGTCCGAGCTTCAACAGGAGGCGGCATGGAGAGAGGGCAAAAGACGGCGAGCAGGAAAAGCAAGGAGCAATCCAGAAACGTGCAGCAGTTTGACCCGTGATCTGTCCCGCCCTTTGTGATGAGTATTTAAACTGGTGAATTTGTTGTGAGATTCGGTGTGTATGTTCAACGTTATCGTCGAGTGCGTCTTCCGTGTCGTCGTCGTCTACTCCCCCAGTGTTCCGCGTCACCTCCCCGTGTCTTTAGTACTCAAGATCGTGGGTATTCAGTGTGCCCTACGTTTCGCGCCCAGAGGTCCAGTGCAGCAGTGTGGTGCTGCAATCCAGTTATCGGCAGCTTGTCCGCAGCGGTTGTCGCTGCAAGCGTCCGATTTAATTTCCACCGCCCCAACGACTCACTTGTAATCTAGTATTCGTGTTGATAAAGTTTGTTTTTTGACTCCAATCTGTCCGCTACGCGCCACAGTACAACAGCAGTCATCCAAATTTTCGTCCGAAGCTCGTCGTACCAGCATCGTCGTAATGTTCGTTCCTCGTCGTTCCCATAACATTTATGCAAAATTTATGATGATTTACTGTATTGAACGCGCAACGCAAGTGTGAAGAAACAACCATTCATTTAGTTAACCTAATTACTTTAAGTTTGATGCAAAAACGCATGATCGCACCCGTCCGTCTGGTGCGTTCCAGTCTGGGTTTTACTTGGAGGTGGAATTCCTCACACATAGGCATGGAAAATATTCAATTTTATTGCAAACTCAAAAGCGAATGCATTTTACGGATTTCATGATCCTCTTCTGACTTCCTTTAAATTTGCACTTTCCCGATGAACGATCGTTCACCGGATAAACGATCGGGCTTCATCCAAAAATTGCTAATCATACACATTGCAGGTCCGCGCGACCCCGTGATGCATCACTACCATTACTACCTGCATGCAAGAAGGCACTAAAACAAAGCCAACACATGTTCACGTGTTAAACTGTAACGCAGGAGTCAATCATGCTTTTAACGATTTGACCACTGCAAATCTTGAGCAAAAACGTATGATCGCCCTGGCAAGCCTGGTGCGCTTTAGCCTGGGGTTTTATTTTCGTCTAAGACAGAGGTGGAATGAGATATTCAGCTATACTCCCTTCACTATCTTATGATTTTTTTTTTAAACTGTATTATATAACGAATAAACTCGGCAAATTTCAAATCCAGTGATTCTGCAGATACATTTTCCAAACTTCCGAGTACGTTAATCAAAAACTTTACTATTCACACAATCACTTTCTCTTATAAATTCGCCCACATTGGTACAAATTTCTCGGCGGCCTGCAACCTGATCCGAAGTTAGGTGCATGTTAACATAACATAAGCGGCAACTTGAATTTCTAGCTCATATATTTGGAATGCATGTTACTGGGAACTTTGAGGATGAAGCGCACCCTCTTAGGCATTAGAGAACCTTTTCTCGTTCACGTACATCACTCTTCAACTGACTCATTCTTCATTAGCACAGTGCCTCCGGCATGGTTTTTCGACGGGACTACTTAGTGCTTTCAATTCAGTCGAATCATTTGAATCGCTAGAGGACCTGGTGTAGGGATAACCATCGCTATTCCTGTACTAAAAACAACGGTTCGACTTCATCAGAAGAAGAACCAATCCCTCTACCATTCTGATATTCACTTTGGTGATAAATATATTGGCATGTACTGTCGGGTCAGAACCAATTCAGTTCTAAGCAATCCCTAGAAAAATGAGTCGCCGATAACGCTTTCAAAATGTGGTTGCTGTTGGCGTGTACTGCCGCTCCTGCCAATTGCGAGGGTTCTGCTTTCACGGGAACAAGGCAAAAACTTTGAAAACGACCTTTACATTTAAATTAATAGGTTAATGCCGTGCCGATTCATTCCAGCGAAGTAGGATCAGAGTGTCATCTGTACTGGTGGTCTGCTTATAAGCCTCCCCTAATTTCCCAATAAGTTAATATAAGGAAGACAAAAGAATAGCGTAAACTAAAGCCACTCAAACATTTCACATTAGTTCACATCCTTACTCGGAAAGTGCAAATGCGCTGGTGCTCGACCGATCGACACCTGCTACGAATGCAAAGCCGCTGGCTCCCTCTTTTTCTGTGTTTGTTTGTGCGTATGTGTGTGAGCGTGTACATGTGTGTCTGCATGTGTGTGTGTTTGTGTGCTTGTATGTGTGTGTGTGTCCTCGGTTCGGGCAGAAGGTGGCGAATGAAGTACCTTTGGGTTTAGCTTATGAGCATTTTTACTGCCCCAATATTGCTGCTATCTGATGCTGCTTTTCCTCTTTGTGTCAGTGTGCCTGTTTTTTTTTTTGTTCCAGCTCTTGGAAATGGCATAATGTTAATGGTGAGGGAGAAGCGAAAGACGAAAAATAAAAAAGCGGTAGAGCTTTGTACTGCAGGACTTTTATAATATCAGTAGAAAGGATTTCGAGCTCAGTAAATAGCGGCGCGCACCAGGATGACCAGTGCGATCATGTGTTTTGCGTAGTCCCATTCAGCGGACGTTTGCCTGTTAAAAACATAACTGTTTTGTACTTTTTTTGTGTGAAAGAATAGCCGATATATTCTCTGACTCCTAAGCTGAGAATTTCCCACTAAAAATTTCACATGCCGATACATGAAAGCTAAATTTTAAAGCTTGGACTGCGAACATCCATCCAAATTTCAACCTCTCTGTTTTTTGCTAGTGACTTTCGCATCAAAACTCTCACGTGTTCGTACGTAGGACCTCAGCATACTTGGGCGCTAAATTTGAGTTTGTGACGTATCTGTACAAGTAGAAAACATGTTCCTTAAATTTCGCATCACAGCTCCACTCGTTTCCGAGACAATAATTTTTCCCACCAAAAATTTCGCAGCGCCGCACAAGAGATCCAAGGGTACATGAAAACTAAATTTGATTCTGCGAGGTCGCATTCTCCCAAAATTTCATCTTCCTAGCTTTCATGGTTCCTGGAATAATAATTTTGCCCGCCAAAACTTTCACGGGGCCGTACGTGTTACCCGCGGGCACTGAAAGGCTGAATTTAAAGTTTCTGGGTCGCACATGGGCAGGGGACACTCTTCTAAAATTTCAGCTTCCTAGCTTTAGTGGTTCCCGAATTGAAAGTTGAGAACAAGATGCGTTTTTATGCGCTTTAATTGTGTAGTGCCATAGCTGCTACAGTGAGTAAAAACGCATGTTGTCGAGAGGCCATCCGTGTGCATGTGTGTGTGTGTGTTTGTGTGTGTGTGTGTGTATTTATGCATGTATGTATGTGTGTACGTCTGGAAGCAAGTGAACTTTATCACCCATTTT